GGGGGGGGGGGAGATATTGTAAGGAAATTTTAAATGCTAATCTCTCGTAGGGGTCAAAGTACTAAAAAATCCTTCCTCTCAAATCGAGTTGAAGCAGGGCATGGCTTTCGTTTCACTTCGCAGTAAGCTGTAAAACTGAGCCAAATATTTTCCAGTAAATTTAATTGGGATTTTGCAATCAGAGAGCTTACTCAGTTACGCTACGAATTTCGTCGTAGTTTCGTCATGAGAATTTTTTAAAAAGGAATTATTCCCGGAAAGTCCTTGACAAGTATATAGCTTTAGTGTTCATTTGTATGCTAAGAAAAAATTTCTCTGGGACGAAATAAAGATTTTGCTATCTAAAATAGAATTTTCCAACCGTAATATGTTATTTGGCCATCGTAAATTCTAGTAAACTTTGAGTATTACATTTTCACGCGTGTACCTGAAGGTTTATCAGTGATCCTTTTGAATTGAACTCAAAGTGCAATAATATATACACAAGTGAGTTGCCTATGACTTGAAAGGAAGATATCGTGCTTACATTGTCATTTCTGTTTTTTGAATTTCTCAAGAAAGTTAAAAACTCTTAATCTATTTAGACATAAGAAGCATTTACCATTGCTGATTTTTGCAGTTTGTAAATAAGATCCCTCTCTCATGATGAATCTTGGACATGGCTCAGAGTTATCCGTAATTCATTTGGCAAAGTTTACAACCGCCGGAAATAGAACTGACGGAGGTTGTAATCCCCGCGGGGGATTCAGAAATTTTTCTTTATTCCTCGCTGAAGACATTAGTTGAACATTTGTCTTGTGGTTCTTTGTTACTCTCTGATAACAATCGCAGGCCATTTTATCAGATCAGATATTTGCATTTCCTTTACATACCTTTGTAATGTACTGTAAGTTTTTAAATGCTGTTTAATTTTGAGAACGTGGCAATGGATAAATAGTCGAAAGATTATTTAACTCTACAGGTTCAGCGAATATCTTTTTTGGCTGGTTTGTTTTTACGGAATAACGAAAATGGTACATGTAAACTTTCGCTATGGCTTTGTTCATTTTAAATTTTCTTTAAGGATTTTAGGTTTTCTTAGCAAAATGCATAATAGAGCTCCGCCTACGGTTATTGGCGTCATGTTTGTTTGGCTATCGTTCACACAAAGTGAGATCGAATGCTTGTATTAGCTCTTGAGAACTTCAGTACTTTATTCATAAAAATCAGCGCGGATATAAGTATTTTGGACTACACCTTCTTTAGCTCTGCAGCTACGGGTGATCTTTGCGCAAATCATGGGCAGAGGGTCCGATATAGCCTTAACAAATTGTGGACAAATATTGTGCTCTGGGAATAGCTGAGCTGATATGATTTGCTCATTTTTTCCACTGTGAGGGCTCGACGGAGCGATAGCACACAAGAAGTTTACGTAAGCCGTAACAGTTCCTCCCTCGGCGTATTTTAAAGAAGACATACCTAGCTGATTCCAGCAGAGTGGGTTAACAAATTGGGCTCGTTTCAACTCTTCTGTATAACATCTTGGATTCGTTTGAACCAAGTATTGTCACGTCTGCGCGCTGCGACTACAATTACTTCGAGAGTATTTAAGGTAAGTCTATTCAACGCAGTCGACATTTATATTAACAGAGGAATAGTGTCTTTCTTTATTAGCTCTAAGGCTTTAACTTAGTAAGCTCTACACTGAAACTATTTACCATAATCTTATTGTGCTTGTCAGAGCTAATTGCATTACCCATGCAGGACCGGATTATAAACGTCTTTGTCACCTAGTAGAAAACACATTGCTGCAAACAAAAACCTTTTAGAAGTCATTTTATTCGAGAAGGCACAAAATGTCACGACAAAATGATCTCTTTGTACTAACTGACTGATTACAATTTCATGTTTATAGAATTCAGCTGTCGTATCTCGGTCATAAGAGTTCTGGTTTGGGTTCTCAGCGGTAACTTAAGTTTAATATTCTTGAAGCATCGAAATTAGGTAATTTTCTATCAACTCACTATATGTTGCTAAACTTCAATAAACCTGCTAAATTAGCTGAAGTAAGAGTAGAAATTGGTCCAATTGAATTAGAATAACAAATTTTTAACGTTACGTTCCTTCGATCAAGTTTGATATTGTCTTGCTGCATCTTCTCTTGTGTCACATTCTGATGATTTTTACAATGTCCTAAGAATTATGGTCCTAAACAAATAACTTCAGCAGCGATTTGTGTTTTCCGTATTAGCAGGTTGCTGTTTAAGTTCTACGTATTTGCCTTTCCATGCAAATGGTATTAAAGCGCTCAACGAGTGAAACAAAAACGGATTGTCTCAAATGAAGTTTTCTGTTTGTTTTTGATGACCTTGGTATTCACTATCCCGCATGTTCACAGGATGAGTGAAGGGACCAAAGCGGCGTTTGAAAGTTTAATAAATCGGTTTTGCATCGTTTTCGGTTGATCTGGCCCGACTAGAGAACGAGCAAAGGTGTTATACCAGATGAGTCCCCATAAAATCGAAAACAAATATTAAAACACATATAGAAAATTCACTGAAAAGCAGTTTATTACTTTTTTAAATATATTGCTTTTATTCCTGTTTTGATCACGCACTGATGACGCCAGTAACGTTTTTGCAGTGAATATCACATTGTCATATTCTCACAAAAAAAAATTAAAAAATTAGGATCATGCTAAAAATCGTCAAGAATTTTTCAGTCAAATTGAATTGTTCACAAGCTTCGGAGAAGTAAAAAAGAAAAGAATGAAGGAAAGGTTCTCAGTGCGGAAAATAAAGACCAACAAACTAATTCGGTTCAACTTTGTTAAGAATCCGGATCTTACTATTTCCGTGAGAAAATACGGGTTTCCTGCATGGCGTGAAAAACTGGAGAAGTCATCCGCGGCCGACGGAAAGACGGATAGAGTTAATCAAATCCTGTTACGTGGTGATAAACGATTTTATTTTAGGCTTTCAAGCTTGCGACTTAGCTATATTTATTTGCTAGGATTTGTACATATTTTTTCTTTTTCTCTTTTTTTTTTAGTCATCAATGTGTTACTTGTGCTTTAAAAACTAGCTTTCCGTGATGGATGTTAACGTCACTTCATCATGTATATGTTTGACGTTTACTTCAAAATTTCTTTTGATAATCCGTGCAGTTAGAGAAATACCGGCACATTCGTCAATATCTTCGATAGTTGCAGCTCATCTTGTGTGCAACTTAAAAGTATCAACTTATTTCTTTAAGTTTGATCATCAATGATCACATTTTTCTCGTTTACCCTCTTCGCGGCTGATTTTTGGCCGCTTACAAAATTAATCTGCACTTTGCACTTTTGCGCAAAGCAATTCAGCCTTCACTTGTGCCCAGTCTTCCCTCGTGTTCGTTTCTCGGAAGTTTGATCGGTCAACTGAATCAGTAAATCTTACGACAGCGGGTGATTTGTTTGACGTCACACGGCACCAATGATGCTTTGCTATCATGACACATCAGCACCACCGTCAATATTCATTACTTTGAAACCATGCGGTGATGATAAAAAAAACACCCAAATGTGATGTTCAGAAACTTAACATGTGTCTCGCAAACTGAGCTCTGCTGAAAAATCTCTAAGCAAAGGGGCAGGAATTTTCACAGAAGGTATGATTTTTCAGCATTATCTAGAACGTCACAACGAATATCGATTATAAAGATATCTTGTGTCGTTGTTATCGGACATCTTCATCACCATCTTCAGTTATGAGGCAAATTATTTTGTGCTGTATTGCTTTAAGAGTGGTTGGCAGGTTTTAATTTTTTGTTCATTTCGCTCTACGTTTTGAAACAAGCAAGAATTTTGTGCCAGCAATGTTAAACTTGCCCAATTTCTTCCCACGCTCGCATGTTTCAAAATTCAATGTGACAACGTACAATATTCCGTTTAATTTACATCATAATGATATTGATTAAGAATTCACGCGACGAAACGTATTCATAAAATATTCGGTATATTTTGCAACAAGAATGTTACTAGAGCATTCTGTGTTTGTTTGTTTGATCAATTGCCTGAAATAAGGATAAATATAAATACCAGGATTGATAAATGCGTAAGTAGCATGCTCAACGGCGAGATTTTGTGCCAACCATCACGGTAAACAACAATTAATAGAAATAATCTTTTACTTCTAAAAAAAAAATATAAGCTTAACAAAACGACACTAAATTAACCCCATTTGGGCCAGTTTTGTCTTACAGAAGCAACACCGATATGCGGGAAATAATTTCTATATTGTCTTTCATCTGCATTTCCTAATTAAAGGAAGGAAAAAGCAGTGAAGGGTCACGCGATTATCAACGCCCGGGTTGAATTGGTAGACATTTCTTTTATGTGTTAAACGATTTTTTTTCAAACGACAATAGAGCACAATTTTCCAAATTAGACCATCATTATTTTTAAAACAAGTATCAGGATCTCTTTACCAGCAGACTTTTGGATTCACATTTTTTGCTTGAATCCAACTTCTCGAAGCCCAATTCAAAAATGTTTTTGTAACAAGGACTATTTCAAACAGAGAATTACCTCGTTCTATAGTAGTAGTACGGAATTTTCAAATGAAGAATCACATCCAATTACTCTTAATTACCTCGCGCAACGTCACAACAGCAGAAATTACTGCCCAAGTGGCTCTCAAAGGTATCATTTGAAGAACTTGTGTGAGGAACACGTTAACTCTGCGGTTATTGTCTGATCATTGGATCTGAGCAATCTCTTTAGGTCACCGCTCGAGTTAAGTACAAGGGCAGACTTTAAATTATACAAAAAGACTGCTGCATGAGAGTGGAGTTCTACTCAGTTTGTATCAGTTATTTCACTAACTAAAGGCAATAAATATACCATTGCTGGGGCTTTTTTACACCATTGTACACCATCAGTGCAAGTTTATCGACCTGCCAAATGGCAATTTATGAACAATGACGCTATAATTATCTGGACTTTCCATAAATTTGTTTAACATCATAAACTGATGCCTTTGACAGAAAAATTTATCACGAAACATATAATGAAAATATCGATATTGACTTTTTCCTCATCTTCCTGTGAAATATCTGTACTTTGAAGGATAGTTACAACTAAAAAAAGTGCGTTGAGAGCCTTCTGAAGGTAAAAAAAGTCTAAGAAAATTTCTTCGCGGGCGAAAGCAGTCCTTCTACTCTTCCGAAATCATACTCAAGGTGAGGTTTAAAAAAAATGTCCGAAGCAAGGACAACTTTATGGCGAGCTCTCTAACTAGAAGAAGATTACTACATAAAACTGAACCGTCTCAAAGAAGTCGCATTCCAAAGGAATGGCACACGTTTCTCGGAAAAATAGAACTGACAGTTCCTCTTTTTTCGAGAAACGTGTGTCATCCATTTGGAATGCGACTTCTTTGAGACGGTTCAGTTTCATGCAGTAATCTTGCTCTAATTAGAGAACTCGCCATAAAGTTGTCATTACTCCGGACATTTCTTTTTTCCCACCTTGAGTACGATTTTAGGAGAGCAGAAGGACTGCTTTCGCCCGCGACGAAATTTTCTTAGATTTTTTCTCTTCCGGCTTTGTCGGATAGTTTTTAATATTTTCTGGAAGGTTCATCTCTTGTTGAAATACTACTATCTGACGGTCTCACTGAGACCGTAGAACAGAACAAATTTTAGATTTCTTCACATCATATTGCACACAAAACCCACAAAAACCACTGATTTGCTTACTTTGGTTAATTAATTAATTAACAACAAAAGTTAATTTTTGAGCTCTTGTTAAGATCTTCAATATATTATGTGGGCTGATATCTTTATATTCGTCAATGCTCTTATATTTGCGACCACCAGATACTCTAACATATCGAACGAGTGGGTGAATAGCGGCTGAAAACAGGTAGGCCTTTCTTAACTCTTGTCAAGTCAAGAGAACTATTCAGTTTTATTGGTTCAACGTAAGTTCTCGTGGTATAACTTCAGGTATAAGGAAAGAAAACGGATATGTTGGTGTCTTTTTGTAAACTATTTTCGTTCTAATCGATGTCGGTCACGTTTCTAGAGTTTCAAAATGCCGCAAAAATTTGAAATAGGTAATTGTTGTCTATTCACGCACGATTAGAGCTTATAAACAACCCGATGAAGCTTTTGCTGGTGAGAGTAAGTGAGGGTAACTGAAGAGCTAGCGGAAGAATTAGTGGGTGACTCACATCTCTAGCAGACATCTATGTAAGATTTTCTCCTCTCAACGACCAAGCTAACAATAAATACACCGACTTTCTTTAACAATCTACCGTCCAGCGTGTTAGCATTTTCATTAAGACAAAACAAATTTAATTATCATTTGAGGGATATTTTAAAACAAAAAGGAGCGATAGAAAAAACCTGTGATCGTGACAAAGAGAAACCTCTTCAGACGATACAATAAGCAATTGGCACGTACAAGAGTCGAGGGATCGATAAAGAACTTAATTTTAGCAAGCACTTGAGAAAGAATGCGACGCATGCCTGACTCTATGCATGCACGCAGGAAGAAAACATTGCTATTCTTTGTATTGCATTAATGAGTGAGCCACTGAACGATGAATCAAGGAAACGAAAACTGGTTGCTTCAGTTTAACTCTTCAGACAAATCTTAAACGCCAGATGAAGTAAGTAGCGAGAAAGGCGAGCGAAGCATTCTCTTGAATTGGTATAAACCTGCACGACATTTCAACTACACGTTTTGCGTAAAGGATGCAACATTTAGGGAAGTTCGCGAAGGAAGGAATCATTGACAAATCTTAGCTGTAATACGGGCACGTATCAGAAATCCTAAATTTTAACGTCAAAGCCAAACTCCTGAGAACTGCACAATCTCTGAACTGTTCTGCGTTTATCATTTAAAAGCTATGACTGGACATAAATATTTCAGCATACGAAAGAAATGATAATCTTTGAGGTGAAATGGCAGCGACAGATTAATTGATAATAGCAATCGCAAGAATAGAGGCTTGTCTTTCGAACGTGCTCTTCAATAGAATGAATTTCGAGCCGACTCATGAACGATAAAGATAATTTGAGGGAAATAATTTGTTTACTCGTTCTCGCGTTACCTTAAATAACTTGGATTTTCTATATTTATCGTTGTGCTGGCATACGTATGTTTAGCGTGTATTAATAGCAAAGAACAGCTTCAAATTCCAATACTCTCATTTCATGTTAGGTGTTCGAAGAAGTCCTGTAAAAATTTCGTTCACCGCCATAACTTTGAGTCCCTTGCACCGTTTAACAAGTTCTACTTCATTCACGTGGAAATATGCTAATTTTTACACCGATATGGTCGCTTTAAAGCACAGAAGAACTCGATCTTCATATTTGGTTGGAAGAGGGTCCTAAAATAACTTGCATTGTGTTCTGGTAGTCTAGTTATGTTCGGTTTTCAAATATTAATCCAATAATTTCATTTACGTTTTGTACCATCGTCAGAATTGCATAATGTTTTAATAGATAGAGACTCCCGCACAGAAATGTTTGTAAAATTCTATCCCGTTGCTTCTAATTCCCAAAATAACAAAAACATACATCTGGTCAGCTCACTGCCTCTCTGCATAGGTTGCAAAGCAAAGCAAGTCTCTGACCTTGCACGACTTTCAAAGCAATCTTCATTCTCCTTTACAAGTAATAAAGTTTGTATCCTACGTTTAAAATTTCGTAATAATATGTAATCGAACAAGACAAGTGCTGCGCAGAAAAATCATTATTCATAAAACCTTCTGCTTTTTTTTAGCGAAGTCGCGGCACAGAAGAGAGTCTTGTTCTTCAGCGTGCATTTGAGAGCACTAGCTTGCTTATAATTTCGAGCATCCCAAGTTTGCAATTTTACCTATTCTTGTAAATGCATAAGGAGAGATAAGGATTTTTTAATCCTACCACGTATTTGATGTCGACTCCAAATATGCTTGAAATAATTTCTTTTCTTTCAGAAAATGGTAGAAGCCGAACCTTGGGTGATAGGACTCGTGGCAGGATTGGCAGCGTTGATTTTGGTCCTGATTTGTATTCTCGGCATCTTTTGCGTTTTATGGGCCAGGTAATTATAGTATCAGATAATATCATTGTCGTCTCCCTCATTTTTATCATTATTGTTGGCTTTTCGTTATCGTTATCACTTTCGTATTCGTTATGTTATCACTGTTTCTGCCGTTCTCGTTGTCATTATCATTTTCAACTCACAGTCACTGTCATTGTCGTTGTTCTTATTATCAGTAAATGTTATCATCATCATACTCTCCATTTCGGAAATACCTCAATTTTTTAAGGTTAAGTGGTTGTTGCTATGGTTCTCGTGATTAATTCAGTGATTGGTGGATTTGGCTGATTGGACTTAGTATGATTGGCTACTTCAGCAGTCCGATTACAGGTGTCCGATTATAGCCAACTGTCCGATTACACTGTCCAATTACGGCTCTGCAGAATGATTAGTGAAAAATAAGGCAGCTAATGCACCAATCACGTTTCAGGAAATTGTAACAGTTATGATTAAGCCTGTAACTACTTATAAAGCTAAGGAATCGATTCAAAGTTACTATCATGAAGACTGTGCAATTATTGCTTGAGATGTGGAACGCTTATCTAAAATAGTTCATCTGCCTGCACTGTATTTTTTTGGGCTTTTAACTCGCTTGGGTTAATTCAGTATCAGAAAATTGTAAGAATTCCAAGTAAAGAGAGAGTTGGTGATGATTTGTTTATCCACGAGAGCTCAGTCTAACTTTGATTAAAGATTTGAGATTCCTTCAAAATCCTCTTCATCATTCACCGTCGTTGTTCCCTTCGGTTCATCTTAGGTGTTCGTCTACCCAACGAAACTGTTATTCCAAGGTTCCATTTATTTTGAAATTTCGTTGACTATCACAAAAGTTGTGACGAGGCCTCTTCAACATCACAAACGTTGATAAGCATGATCATCACAGTAAACAGAAAAAGGAAAAACTGAACTTCTCATCATCTGATTTCTGTAAACGCTACATTGAAATTTAGATATCATTACACTTTATCAACAATACCGATTTAAAGATTTTTTGGAAAGTAAGAAAACTATGATACCTTATTTCCCCCATGTTCCTTTTGTAAGCAAAGTGACTGCTCTGAATTATCTCGCTGATCATCATAATCGGGAATTTATTGTTCTCTGGCACAATTAGGAAAGACAGCCAACGGAGACGTGATGAGCGTGAAGAGCAACGCCGGCAACGCTTAGCAGCTCTCGCCAGTAGAAATAGTGACTTCATGGGAATAGAGTCTAATTCTGCGTCTATGGCGTCCTCGAACAACAACGCCAACTGGGTTCTTAAAGAAAAACCACACGACTTATTAAGCTCGCCGCCTACTTTAACTAGAGCAGCTGGGAATGAGCCTTTCATAGTCGGAAAATCAATGGTGAAATATTCTAACGAACTTGACAGATCAAACAGCCTTCGACCAGGAACGCCACAAAGATATGTCAGCCATAATGAAGCTGAGCAGAGAATGGTGCGGTTAGGGATGATTCCGCCAAGACGCGACGAATTCAACGGACATTTCCCAGCAGGTTATTACACCGAACCTGGGAGAGGCAAGTCACAGAAAGGAAAGGCGAAATCTCTAGATATGGATGGAAGCAGAAGATACAGTGCGGACCCGCCACAAGGGGTGGCAATGCCCAGATCCGTCGGCTACGTGAACGGAAACATCCCCCCTGGTTATCTCACCGTGCCTGGAAAGGCCAAGTCTCCTGGTAAAACTAAAGGTGGAAAGAGGGGGTCGAGAGATCTTGAAAACCAGCGTTTTAGGCATAATAGTGAGGTGCTAGTACCTGTGAGTGAAGAGGTCCAGTTGTGGTCTATGGAACAGAGCCAACCCCCATTTACACTTCCTGAGGAAGATTACAACACAGCGGGTGCCACATGGTATCTTTCTCCATCCAATGATACGCATGGAATATCCAGTGCAAGGTCAGAAAGTTCCCTGTATCGGCCTTCGCAACCCCAAAACTATCCAAGGCACGGTCCACAAACGTATAACACTCAGAACGTAAATGGAACGGTTGTGTCAGGGTCACTACCACCAGAAGGTCCGCCGCCCACTTCGCCAGGGCTAATGGAGCAATATTATGACGGTCAAGACACTACAAGACTCAAACGAGTAAAGCGTGTCGGTGTACCGACTCTGCCAAATTAGAAAGTCCCCCACAATGTCTTAAACATTTATTTGACATCACCTTTAAAAATTGCACTAGGAAATGATCGCTTCTCAGCTCAGCTTGACAATGCAGTGGTTATCGTTTGTGGTGGTGGCTGTATGGAACATGGAATACAATGTACAATGTTGGTTTCTGACAGCTCAGTCCCTTATGTTGAGGACTATATGTTTGTTCATGATGTTATACTGGTAACCTCTGGAAGTAAAAGCAAGGGACTGGAAGATGGATTTTAAACTTTAATCATTCAAATACGTACTTAGTCGGCTATCTTCCTTCATCTCCTTCCAAAATTTTGCATAATTTTGGCCCGTGTTGATTTATGATCATGAAAGCACTGTTCTTTACTTGGTGCATCAGAGAATAGAACAAAAGCAATTGTATACCACATGGTTATAAAGTATTCGTCAGGTCTAAAAATCTCATTTGAGGATGAAGCCATCCTTAATTAAAGTAAGACACATAAGGCTACGCATTTTGTGGCAATTGCAGTGGTAGAATGAGTAAAAATTCCAGCCAACGCACGTTAATCTTTAGTAAAAACCAGAGGAGGATTGAACATGTTAAGATTTTATTATAAAAGCGTTCCTCTCTAAATAAAGATATTTAGTGAATGCTCTCCCACGTGGCGATTTGCAAGAGGAATAATTGTTTAATCTCATCAAGCTTATTTTAAAGCGTATGGCTGCGTTCTTTGAAAACAAAATAGGAAGAGAACTATCAAAACAATTTATCGACGTAATTAAAGTTGTTTATATGTAAAATATTTTAGAAGTAAAACAGAAAAAAATGTTTCTATTTCTAAAGAACATAAAGAACCTTTTATGGCAGACAGAGTACATGAATTTTGGAACAAATTTCTCACTTATGTGACCTGTAATGATATTGTCAAATAGGCCTGCAATTGTGGTGACAGGCACAAAGGTGGGGATAGTTTAATGGGAAAAAGGGGCCAGAAAAGGAGATCAGCGAAGGCCTGGTGGGTGATAAGTAATTATCATTTCCCATTAAGCGTGGGTGGCACTGCAAATAAATCTCGTATATCAAACTGGTTCTCTTGCTTTCTTTTAAATTGATGTCGGAACAGATGCTATTTTTCGAAATCGGACACTTGATAAAACAAATATTCCATGCTGGCGAAAAATTACAATTTAAGAACACCTTTCTTAGAGTGGGTCTAAGTTCGGATATTTCCATCCACTCTTGGACGGTTCCGTCAGGTCTCATCTCCGTCTGATTCCGGAAGCCTCCGTCCTATTTCCGTTGTTCCTGTCCGAACAAGAGTTCGGCTAAAACCGAAATCATCCTGAATAGAACAACTGGACGAAATTACCAGATTACATTTATAATGATCGACCAAACCTAATATCGCAAAATTGTGATTTATGAAACTTTCTTCTGAAACTCGAAGCATTTTGTTAATGTTATTTTTTCTTTTAGATTTTTCACATCAAGCTATTATCTTAGTTTTTAATTTGACACCGGCTTTCTTTTTTCCCGCTGATATGATAAACATCGAATTCAAAAGCGTTTCTCACACCGATAAGCCCATTATTATGGTTATAAAGGCCATTAATCAAGTTTAAAATGAATTCATCTATGTCAGTTTTAGAAGCCCTTAAACAAAAGATATGGTTAAGAAATTTGTGTAATAACTCATTATGTTGGGAATGTACGTTATCGTGTACAGCAGTCTCACAACTTTTAGGTACTTTTCGCCATCCATTCAGTTTTGAGTTCGAATATATTTAAAAGAATCCTTACGAGTTACCTTTAATGGTGAAAGTATGTGAAAACTCAAATCTATCTGCAAATTAACGAAACCAGACAAGAACAATATCGAAAGCAACAATAACTTTTTCATTAGGAAGGTTCATCCGTTTCCTTGTCGAAAACAAAGGAGCTTTCATCAATGTAGAAATGAGTTTCTCGGTGTAGCCTTCCTTGAATCGGTTTTTCCACGTCGGTAACGACAACAATGATCTGTTGTTCCCTTTGCAGTGAGAAATTGATTATTTGTTTGAAATTATTACCAATTCAAAACAATAGAAGGCTCTAAACACCTTCACAATAGCGTGTGATCGGTTTTTCAACATCCAATTTGAATAATTGGTTTTCCTAAATTTCGTCTGCAAAATTTGCATGTATGTAGACATCAAATCACTTTTAGAGATTTTCAGCAAGGGCTTGCTAACAAACTCCTTCGTTGAAAGTCAGAGGTTTACAATTTTATACTTAGTTTTTCAATACACTAAAAATAGCAACAGTGGTCCAAACAGAAGAAGAATGCGCATACGTAAGTTTCCGCCGCGCCTCTAACAGTCTAATAGATTTCCAAGCGAGTCTAAGTAATCTTTTGACGCATGTGGACTCAACCGTGAATGCTTGTCATATCATCTTCAGTCCTTATTGAAAAACACCCACATGAATATTCACCCTGCGATATGGGTCGAACTGTACTGTAAAGGAAGCCGCTCGTCTGTACTTGTATGCATAAAAGACGGGTTGGCTGATCGATTTTAGAAACGGCGTTCTGGTATCGACGTATATATAGAGATTGCGGTGTTGGAGTAAGTCCTAGAACTTGCGCTTTTGTCGACTCAATGACAACATTCTATCCAACGCAATCGAGTCAACAACGGCCACGAAATGTTCACAGCATTTCTTTTATTCTGTTTGTTAATTTGCCATACACACCAGACGAACGACAAAGCACTCAGTCAACCTTCAGAACTGCTTCGCGGGTTTAGCCTTAAAGAGGTTTCACAATTGAAACAATCATCAAAACAGAGAGATGACGTACCAAGATTTCTTCTCAACTTATACAGAAAGCGAGCGCTTTTACACCGCCGAGGAATAAACCAGCGGGACTCGGAGATAGTGAGGGTGTTTTTCCGAGAACGTAAGTGCTAGCTCCTTAGAATGCCTGACCGAGAATGGCATTTAGTTAGTTACGGTAACCATTCTTTGAAGCAATCAGAACATAACACCAGGTAAAGCTTTATTTATTGGTTTTACTCTCTTTAGCCGCAGGGGAAAGCAAGAGAAAAGGACCACTGCATTACGGGTTTTACTTTAACATATCCACCATTGTAGTGGAAGAGAAAGTCAAGAAAGCTGAATTGAGAATCTTCAAGAAGACTCCGCTGGGACGGACTAGAGAAGCTGGTTACTTTAAAATAAGAATTTTGCGTTTGAAAAATCACCAGCACTGGACCAAAGGGGTCCCTATCGCTTCCCACTTGGTTAGTTACAAAGAAAACGTTGGTCGGTGGATAACGTTTGATGTTACATCTGCGGTTAAATTTTGGAAAGAGAAACCCGAGGAAAACTTTGGCTTGAGTGTTACAGTGGATGGCGTTGGTGCCTTCCCATCAGATTTTCGTATCGGGGGACATGGTAAAAGAGCACCTTTCTTGGTAACGTATACAAAGAGCCTACAAAAATTTCCAAGAACTCTGCATGTAAACTGCAGCAGCGACTCAGTTCCCGAAGAGAATGAAGAACACGTCTCTAAAAATATCTCAATGACGTCCGCATCTCGTCAGAGGCGTTCCAGCAGACCACCTAAAAGATGTCAACGTCGGTGGGTTTATGTGCATTTTAAAAAGTTAAAATGGAACTGGATTATTGCTCCAAATGGTTACAGCGCTAACTATTGCGATGGTGTCTGTCCGAGGGTTCTTGATATGCAACTGGAACCAACGAATCATGCTATCTTGCAGAACATTTTACACAAATTGGACAGTCGAATTCCGTCTCCTATGTGCGCTCCTACTAAATTACATGGCATCAGTGTGCTATATAAGACAAGCGACAGATCTATTGCGTTAACAGAGTATGGTGGAATGGTTGTGTCGTCTTGTGGATGTCTGTGATGAAAGTGAAATATCCGCAAAACCGTTTCTTAAAAAGATAAAAGCCGAAAATAAATTCTGGCTCCTCATAACACAGATTTATGTTCGAGGAATTATTGAATTATCGAAATTCTTTCCTACTTGGCTGACGTCGCCAGACATACACAAATTGCTTTGAACTGAAGAGGAAGGCCTGTAAAAAAAACATATATATTTGATTGAATTGTTGAGTACAGTCATGATTGTACTTAGGTGATATTCGACAGTCAGTTTGCGACAGTCGCTATATCCAGAGGAAGACTGCTTGGGCGTATGGAGAAGTAGGTGTAAAACCACTTATGAACCAGACAATCTAGTCGAGCAAAACTCCATAATTAAAAACATAGCTGCAATACTTTAGAGTCTCCAAGTCAAAACAAGATCCAGAAGAGGAGACAATTTTAAATTCAAATTTATGGTAGTGACGCAAAAAGTTTTGTACCTTTTTGCAAAAGAATTTGGCAGGCTGAAGAGCGTGAAAAGCTCCTTAAACCTTCACAGAATCTTTTAAAAGAAGTTTGGTATAAAAGTGTGTACTTTAGTTATATTTGCGGACGGCGCCAATTTTGGGCGAGAGAAAACAAGAACGTGTAGGAATTTCTACCCCCGCGAACGCAATTATCAAATGCCAGCTAATATTTTCTCGTTGATTGCGCCTTTTCGAATTAAATGAATAGCCTGCAGTGTCAGACAGACGCCCAAAAAATAATGAGACAGGGTAATGAAACATGATTAATCTTTTGAAAGTTACATTATAATAACATCAGTTCTTGGATCAAGTTTTTTATTACGTACGTTCGGTTGACTGCAAAGTTTTCCAAATAGGATTAAAAACTCATAAGGGTTATTTAATAACAGAAAAAAATGGGATTGCTTATTTAGCACGCTTGAAACAAACAACTACTAGTACGTACTAATTAGAGTGAGAATTTTAATCGTCTATAAGCCGATAAAAGATTGTGGCCTAACTGACTGACTGACTGATTGATAAAGTGTATCAGCCAGAGTAATAGCAATATTAACGGTAAAGTCACGAAAATGATTGCATGTTTATTTAATTGTGTGAACAAAATAATGATATTAAAAAAATTAAAGGTATTTAATGTGTACCTCTCAAAGTTAGTAAGGACTTATGAAATGATTTTTTACCCTAATTATGTATGAGTTTCCATTGGAAAAAGTTTAAGTCAGAAGTCATATTTATATTTTTCTTCTGAAAATTAGATGAGAGATTAGCAAAGAGTATTTGAAATTCTTGTTGTCCATTGGTTAATTAACTGTGGGTTTAGGAAGGCTCTTAACAGCCCAAAGTATGTCATTATACTTCGATGGATCATTACTATTTACCGATGTTGCTTGACAGTCATGAAAAATATTGTTGGATTACAATCTTAACTTGCCTGTATTTATAGATATTAATAACTCAAAAGTGAGCCTGGGAAAGGCTAATTTCAGCTCTTTTTAGTATTTTTTTAATTTAACGGAATTCAACCAATTAGAACAAGTAACGAAGCACGTTTTGAGCTACAAGTATTGAAACAAAGAATTTCAGACTGTTTAAGACGGTACCATGGTAGACTGTTTGAAGTGAGTGAGCAGGATCGAAGCCCTACCATTACCACTTATTATTATAATAAATAAAAGCGAAAATGGAATAATTTATCATGATGACTAACCTCTGTTCGTTTCTCAACCCTGCCATTAAACTGGTAAAAAGTTGAATCACGACGAGCCTTAGGACTCCTCTACACAACACAGTTAATTCTCAGGTTTAAGGTAAAAGTTTAATTTGGATAGATCGTCTGGCTTAGATATATCGTAATTGTAAACGCACCCGACAGCTTCCTTCTTGGTTCCAATCCATAATCTAGCCCGCCCCAGTGGTTCTTATGAGAAGAAACTCCTTAACTTACGAGCATATCCTCAAGCTAGTC